TGCGTGTCGAGTGCGCGAAGTGCAGGCGAGAGTGCGACTTGTCCGGTCCGCGCGCAACCCTCTGCGGAGATCGTGCGTGTCGAGTGCGCGAAATGCAGGCGAGAGTGCGATGTGTCCGGTGCGCAGCCCTCTGCGAAGATCGTGCGTGTCGAGTGCGCGAAACGCAGGCGAGAGTGCGATTTGTCCGGTCCGCGCGCAACCCTCTGCGGAGATCGTGCGTGTCGAGTGTGCGAAGTGCAGGCGAGAGTGCGTTTGTGCTGGGCCGCGGGCAACTCTCTGCGGAGATCGTGCGTGTCGAGAGCGCGAAATGCAGGCGAGAGTGCGTTTTGGAGACTTGCCGCTTCACTTTTGGAGGAAGTCTCGTACGAAACGCTCGTTTTGGAGACTGGAACGCTCGTTTTGGAGTCTTGGCGCTGCACTTGTGGAGCTGGACTCAGAAGTAGCCAGTTTGTAGTGCAAATGTAGTACGGGAAAGAGCCTTTCAGAGATGGACTCAGAAGTGGCCAGTTTGTAGTACAAATGTAGTACGGCTTAGTACGGGAAAGAGCGTTTTGGAGCTGGACTCAGAAGTGGCCAGTTTGTAGTACGGGAATACGTTCGCGCCATTGGGATTTGCGCGGCCTTGGTGGAAAATGCGTTTGCGTGGCGCCGTGCCACTGGGGAGCGCGAGCCATGCTGGCGTAAACGCGGCGTGTCGCTGGTGAGCGGGATGATTAGGGGTATCGTGTGATATGTTTGCTTCTAGTGTGTGGCGGACCGTGTGGCCAAAGTACGTTCGTGACGTCGCAGTGCCATTGGGATTTGCGCGGCCTTGGTGGGAAGTGTGTTTGTGTGGGCATAAACGCGGCGTGTCGCTGATGAGCGGGATCATTGGTGGTATTATGTGATATGTTTGCTTCTAGTGTGTGGACAGACCGTGTGGCCAAAGAACGTTCGTGATGTCGCAGTGCCATTGGGATTTGCGCGGCCTTGGTGGGAAGTGCGTTTGCGTGGCGCCGTGCCACTGGGGAGCGCAAAACATGCTGGCGTAAACGCGGCGTGTCGCTGGTGAGCGGGGTGATTGGCTGTCTCATGTGATATGTGTGCTTCCAGTGTGTGGACAGACCGTGTGGCCAAAGTACGTTCGTGATGTCGCAGTGCCATGAGGTGGACCCCCTGAACGGCACCTTCAAGCTGATTCCACAAGATGAGTTGGGACCCTTTCCTCTCGCATCCGGTGACCGCATCCATTTTTCCGCGAATGGTGTTTGCCTTTCTTCTTGGAGAATGCCATTGAGGAATGATGCCAACAGATGATCTTGGATCTTGCATCAGTTGACCATCTTTGGTGGAGGATACTGAATGGCTATAGCCAGAAGACTGTCCGGCAGCAATGCGCCGCCCCCTGGCGCTGATCAGGATTTGCGATCGGAGAATGATGACCTCATCTTGACTGTACATCGCAAGACCCCTTTGAAACAGTTCATCAAGGAATATCTGATCAGCACATCGAGGACATTCCGGGAGCCATCTCATCCAACCGAGGTCGCCGAACAAAATTGCAGAATTTCATCGTAGCCCTTGATGTAAGTGACCTTTGCTTGTTCAAGCAGGTGGAACAGAACAGTTTTGAGAAGTTGCTGGTTGATTGGCCCAAGCTTCAGTGAACCATACGGATGCTTTCGGTGGGCGTCACGTCTTCGGCAGCTGGTGTGATTGGGGTTGCCCCTTCGATCTTCGCCATCTCAAGAAGCGTGGGAAAGCAGACCTTTTGTGGATTTGCAGAAGGAGATGGCGGGAATTGTCTTGCACCATGGTGATTTAACTGCGCAAGTTCGCCCTACGCTTGCTACTTCGCAGGAAAGTATTCTACTCAATGACTTGCGAGAGTACCACGCCAAGGGCACAGATCGTCGAATGCCACAATTGGAGGCTTATCTGAACAGGCGTGTCACTCAAGGCCAACAATCAGGCGCTATCTCAACCATTGTCGTCGAGTACTACAAGGCTCCAAACTATGGACGACTTCTTGCACGTGGACCCTCAGCCCAGAAGCTTACCAAGGACCAAGGAAGCTCGAGTATGCGCACTAGGGCGCGGAGTGGAAGTTGATGCTTCATGTTGCCACCCTCGCTTGCTTTTACTCTTGCTGGAGAAAAGGAACTGACGGCAGAGGCTGGCTGCGCCATGCTTCAGCTTTTTCGCAAGCGTTTCCAAGCATGGCGCAAAGCTTTGGCGCAATACCTCGGAGTTGCTGAAGCTGATGCTAAGAAAGAGCTCATCAGGGTTTTCTATGGAGGTCGACCTCGCCATGGCATCCCATGGTTGCGCAAGTTGGGTCATGAAGTCCAGACAGCTGCAAATCTAATCCTGCAGGATCCATCGTTGCATCATTTGATGCACTTGTAGTCTGACCATTCGAATCCAGAATTCAATCGTTTGCGCGCACTTCTGTCTTTTGAAGAGAGCAAGGCTCTTGGACGTTATCCGGTTGCATCCTGTGGTCAACATGACAGTTCCTCTTTTTGATGGAGGTGTCATTGTGAGTTCTTCTCTTCAAACGGACATTTCACTTCTTGAAGCTTGTGACAAGGCAAGTCGCGAGAGATGGGAGACTCACCTCGCCAAGACTGGCAACAATGTCTCTGCCTTCTCCGATTGCTTGCTCAACGCTGTGTCTTCTGTTGAGCCATCTTGCGACGTGTCACATCTCCAGGCTCAAGTGGAACAAGAACCAGAAGATGGACTTTGCGCATATGATTTCAAGGCCACTTTCATGTTCTCTTCCCAGCGTGCAGACCCCATTTTTCAGCTTCACTGCCTTGTCAAATAGCCTTCGGATTTGGCTCCCAATCCAATTCTTTGTCATGAAGCTATTGGCCCAGCCAAAGGTCATTGGTGGTCATTCTCTTGCAAGGATGAGTTGGTGCAAATCTATGACTGCAACGCAGGTCCCTACACTTTGGGGTCGTCCTGACCAGACTTTCGACAGAGTTTGGGCAACAATGAGGCTTTGACTTTCTTCCAGTTGAAGACGGCACCGACATCTGAGGCAGTGGAGGATGGCCCTGAGCGCCGGGCATGCCCGCAACATGCCAGAGATGCCTTCCGCGCGCACACCACTTAGTGCATGCGCTGCTTGTGGTGCGCCCCTGTGCAAGAAGAGCTTTTTGGAAGCCACTGTGTATACATTGTCTGGACCGCAGACAGTAGAGCATGTGGCTTTCAGGCGCGCTAGCAAAAGTTGCCGCTCCATCCATTACCATAACTACCATAGGTGCGAGGGCAAGAAGGTGAACTCATTGGCAGTGGAGGCGTCTGACTACATCTTTGTTTCTGCAACCACCGGCTTCTGCGCTTCTTTTCTGCGCTACCACGATGCGTTGCAGTTCCGTGGGTACGTCAGTTCTAAAGCCATTGCGCGGGTGCAGTTGACTGGTCTTTGGCCTGATGATCACTCACATGCACGCTTCAACCAAGATTATGGCCAAGCACGTCTCCCGAATTGGTTGGTATGTATTTTGGTTTCTGTTGCCGGACACCTTTGAGTTATATACATTTTTCAGGTTGCCTGCTTGATTCTGAGGCTTGCTCTCCAATGTCATCACGGAGTTTAAGGACATGTGGAAGCTTCATTCCTGGAAGGACAAAGAACGTCTCCTGCGAAGCATTGAGATCGACAACCCCTTGCTGCTTGTGCACCTGTCTGAATACCATGTTTGGTGGCAGCGAATTGCAACTCCCAAGTCTCTGTCCTCCAGTGTCCGTGAATTTGCCAGGGACGGTCATGAAAAGATTGCTAAACAGCCTGCGCCGATAACCCTCCTATACATGGAGGGCATCCTCGCTCAGATGGGGCCGTGAAGATGTCAAATCATGGTTGGTTTATGGTCTTCACCACTGTGACACCATAACAGATTCGAATCAGTCACGCCACATCTGCAACGTAGAAAATATGAGGCTTCAAGTAGCCTTGGCCTGTTGCAACTTCGCATCACCTTTTGCAATTTTGCATCAATCACAGTCATCGCAAATGGGCTCAGCAGGTCCTTCTCTGAATAAGCGCCAAACATGCACAGCTGCATCTACATGTCCCTCAACTTTAACTTCCACTTTCATCCCTTGACACAGATTGCTATCTTCTTGGAACATGTGATGCAACAACAACTCTTTCGCTACTGTTATCATCCATAACTTCTGTGGCTGGCACCTGTGACGCAAGCAGCTTCCCCTGCGCTTATCATCAAGTGTCTGTAGCTTGGAACATGTGATGCAACACCAGTTGCTTCACCACTGTGATCATCCATAGCTTCTCTGGCTGGAACCTCTGATGCAAACAGCTTCCCCTGCTCTTCTCATCAAGTGTTTGTAGCTTGGAACATGTGACGCAACGCCAGCTGCTTCACTACTCTTAGCATCAGTTCTTGTGTTTTTGAAGCTGGAACATGCGATGCAACACCAGCGACTTCTTTTTTGTGTAAGAAACCAAAAATGGTCAAAAACATTGAAAAACATGATCGCTCACAGCGTTCCTCTCTCAAAAATATGTCCTTCACGTGGTGCTTAGAACAGTTTTTCAACCTCTTCGCGCAAAAAATAAAGCACAACAGCAATATAGAGTTGCTTGTTATCAAGCCGAAAGCAAATGCCAAGGCGTAGAGGCACCCGTCTGAACCCAACCGCGATGACAGTAGATGTCCAGATCATGGGTAGCGACCGCTCCAACTTTACTGGTCCTATCAGTGATGTACATATTCCAAGAACACGAAACAGTGGAGGTCTGCGGCCAAGGCCCATGTCAGGGTGGCTATGTCATTGAGCACAGGCACTAGCCGGCGATCATGCTGCCCAAGGCAGACTGATTTCTCCACGCAAAAAGGGAGGAGCTGGCCTTAAAGCTGCGCTGGCCAAGGTAAAAGCAAAATGGCCGGACCTAGGGTTTCAATTCTATGAGTGTTTTGCGTTCCGCCCCAACGGCGGATGATTTCTTCCGGCGCCACACCGCCGCAAAACTGCGTTGCCCTATCCAAGAACGTCAAAGAGAGGGCCCCGCTGCCAGACCCTTCACCGTCCGAGTAGGCCAGCAAGACATGGTTAGCGGAGATCGAGGGACGCTCCGAGGCGGTAAAAAGGAAGAACTGGCCAGCAACCACTGCAACTGGGCCCGCAAGACCGCAGTGAGCTTGAATTAAATCGTTGATGCCGGAAGCATATTGCCGACGTTTCAACGCCGAGAGTTGCGCACGGCCAAACCGCTCAAACGCTGCAACTACTGCAAAGCCCAACTTGCCACGCAGGCGAGCCGCCTGGCCCGGATAGAGCAAATTTGCAGCCAAAATAGCGTGGATCTAGGCTGGCCACACAGGCCTCAGCGACTTCGACCACGCCACGCGGATCATCAAGGGCCCAGCGCAAAGCCAAGCGTCAAACTCACGCAAGCGGGCGAACACTTCTTCGGGTCAAGCTGCAAGCCAAGAATGTCCATCAATTCCCGCCAGGATTGGTGGCCACTCTCACCACTGAAAGCAGGCCTGACAGAGTTGATGTCATCAACCTAACAAGGGCAAATGGCGCCAAGGCGCCCCGAATTTGCAAGGGCTTTGCGCAAACCCAAAGCCAAGGCTGTGAGCGCACCCACCATGACAGTGTTCCGCGCAAGGCAAGCTGATACTGAGCAGAAGCGACCGCAAGCTGCCTGTAGGCGGCCTTGAAGTCCGCAGCGTACTCTAGGAACTCGGTGCGGGAAGAAAAAAACTGCTCTAGAGAACCCGCTAAAGCCAAGATCTGCTCAATACCATGAGGAATGTGCGTCTCAGAGTCTTCGACGTGGAATTGAAAAAACTTTCTGACATCTCGTCACTGTTGCGGCATTTCGGGTGGGTTTGAGCACCATGGTGTTCCCAAATTGGAAAGCGGCGCAAAACCACAGCCACCGAGCTGGGCAACGCAGAAGCTTTCCACGGGCCCGGCATCAAACCGGCATCAATCTCGTTATTCATACTCTTGGTGTCGCGCAAAAGAAGTTCAAATCATCCGGAACGCTTCTTTTCACTCGGGTGTTCACACGAGCTTGCCAAGGCTAGGAGCTTGGCTATGCACTGTACTGTTTTGGTGTGGGCGGGTGGGTTTCATTTGAAGGATCCAAGACCGAAAGGTCAAAAGGCGACCCTCCGCACCCACCCCTTGAAGTTCTATGGCCACCGTACAAATCATTTCAGCAAGACACCCGAAAATCTGGAAGTTTTTCTATTGGGTTCTCATGACAATGTCATCGTTTTCAACGAGGATCATCGTCATTCATACTCTTGGCGTCTTGCAAAAGAAGTTCAAATGATCTGGAGCGCTTCTTTTCACCCCGGGTTTCGCACGAGCTTGCCACCCGCATTTCTCTTTTGTGGGAACACACGAGATTCAGCACAATTGTTTCAAATTCAAGAAGGTTTTTTCGGACAGCTCAGAACACTCTAAGGAAGCTCTCAGGAAAGTTGCTCAGGAAAGTTGGACAAGAGACTACCTGCGGACGTGAATTGGCCCCTATGGCCCACCACCTACTACCTACTACTTCTACCTACTACCTGCTACTCCTACTACTACTACTACTGCTGCTACTGCTGCTACTACTACTACTACCTACTACCTACTACCTACTACCTACTACCTACTGCCTACTACTACCTACTACTACCTACTACTACCTACTACTACCTACTA